ATTATTATTATTATTAGCTAGTGTTTTTACAACTTACTCTTGCGCAAAAAAGAAGAAAAAGGTCATAAAAGAGCAAGCTTAGTGTAATACGCTGAGTCTCTTAATTTATGAACTTTGAATTAATTTCTTAATTAATCATATTTTTTAAACTTAATTGATTTTTGAAAATCAAAATCTTAAAATTTAAATTTAAATAAGTTTTTTTTTAATTTCTAATTTATTGAAAAGATTCAATTTTTTACAATTAATCATTTCAAAACTCTGGATATTATGTCTAAAGGAGGGATTAATTAAGGATTTTCTTACTACCATTTTGGACTCAATTGAAAACTCAAAAAACTTTATTGTGTTTTTCTTTCTGAGACTAAAATGGGGACTAAAATGAAAATTTGGAAAAGAAAAGGGACCAAATTATCAGAAGTTCAGAAGAGAAAGAGCAGAAAACAAAATTGGTCAAATTAAAATGAACAAAACGCACAAAATTCAAGCGTTCGTTCCGTCTCTCTCCTTTTATAGGCCGATTAGGGCCAAGTTGGCGATCACAGAGTGGATTCTCTTCAAATAAATCAATTAACCACGGGGAAGGCTCAATTCGGTGAAGGTCTCAACCAAGAGGTCATGACTTGGGATAGTCTTCTTTGTCTGCGATGTCCCCTGATGATATTTCTTAGTGGCTTCAGTGGACTTAATTCAAGAAATGGTGGTTTCCATCTAATCCATTCAGTTTTTCAACCCCTTCAATGATGCATGTTGTCAAGATAGACGTGAATGCCACGGTGAGTCTTTTTTTTTTTTATTTATTTACTGTTAAATGTGAGTAATCTCGAAGCTTCACCTTTAACCAAAGACACCTGTTTAGCCGTGGATCAGTGGAGGTAACTTTGGGTTGATAAGTCATCTATTTGTATTTTACCATAAACAACTAATTAGAATCAATGAAAAAACAATCCAGTTACCAACATTTCTATCGTCCTTTATTAGTAGTTTCAAAAACAGTAGAATAAAATCTTAGGGTAACGGAATTTAATAGTTAAAAATTTAAAATTTGAAATTGAAAGTCTTAGGTTTATCAAACCAATTCAGCTGTACTTAAAAAAAAAAAACACAGTAGAATAGAGAAATCGGCTTTCCTTGCCTTAAGAGCAAAAGGGAAAAGAAAAGATTCATAAGAACAACAGAATACTTTCTACTTATTGCATAACTAAATATGTTTTTTTATCATTATACCGGTAGTTTGCTTGGCCTCGTAGA